TTCTATTAAAAAAATATAATTTTTAAATTTGTTATTGCTCAATATTTATCATAGCGAATTAAACTAGTGGGGTGTATGGCATCGTGCCTTAAGGCAAATTGCTGGAACTTCCCGTACCGTAACGAAATGATCGAGGAATAGTTGAATGTTTTCAAATAGATTATTATAAATATTGTAACATTGTCGAATATTCATAAGAATTATATAAACTGAATTGCAAAGTTGAAATTATTTGTTTAAAGTATATTAGAACTTTAGTCAGAATTAAAAATAAAATCTGAATTATTTTCGATATAAAAAAAATTTGGAAAAAAAAAAAAAAAATTAAACAATTTTTTTCAAAAACAATTATTTTTTAAAAAAAGCAGAAAGTTCTTTGAATCATTTAAATCGGACGCTTAGTTCTCACAAAAACTGCCATTTTTTGCACATTTAGCTCTGTATCTTCGAAATGGCTGGGCCTTCCTTTGCCAAAAACTAATCAGCACATCTCCCTATCGATAGGAATCGAATGTTTTTTTAACCATTCAAATCGGTTGATCCGTGCTTCTGAAGTATGCCAAAATGTTCAGAATCCTTCAAAACGTCGAGAAATGTAAAAATTTTTGATTTCGATTTTTGGACGATTACAATAACTTACCCTACGGGAAGTTAATTATTGAAAATTTTAATTTATTATTAGAATTTTTAATTTTTAAGTACATGTATAACAACAAGTTACAAAAATAAAAATCGTATAAAACTTTTTAATGTCCCTTCTTTACAACCCCTGATCGTACATAAAATACAATCCATAACCTTATCTCTTTCATACTGTATAGCTCCATCCTTGTCTATCATCCCTTAACGGTTTATATTCGTATCTCATTCTTTCAATAAAAGTCCTTTTCACACACTATCTATATCCTTTTCATCTATATCATTTTCTCTATCGTTTTAATTAAAGAAAATCATCTCTCTCAGTAAATCTCTCTCTCTCCTTTGTAATTAAAAAAGAATTCTTATCTCTTTCTTGCAACTGTATCTATCATTGCCATCTCGCTCTTTTGTAATTAATGTGAAAATGGTCTCTTTCTTTATATCTACCCCTGTCTGTCTGTCTCTCTTTTCTTTGTTTCAACGACGTGATATATGCCTATTTAATGATGCTCGGCCTGATGAATTCTTAATCTTTGCATCAGGACGACACGTGTGTAAGAGAGAGAGAGTGAGGGCTTAGAAGGGGAGGAGGGTGTAGAAGGAAATTGAAAAATTATAACGAATTTTTCATATTTCGAAATTAACTCGTGTATATATATATATATATATATATATTATATATATATATATATATATACATATACTAGATGATCCGACAGACGTTGTCCTGTGCCCACATCTACGCTTTTTTAATATCCTATACTAATATTTCCCGTCAGTTAAAAATAATAATTATTGTTTTCGAATTACTATTTTCACCAATATATCAAATGTCAAATGTAGAACTGCTTCAAATAAAATTATGATTCTCGATTCCCACAGTTAACACTTTATAATTATCCCTTTAACAAATATTAAAATATGTTCAATAAAATTTCTCTATAATAAATTTTACCGTAACTTCTCTTATTTTGAAACGGCAAAGGATTGAAGGGCTCGAAAGGCACTCTGGTTGGACAGCCGCGCAGTCTTTAAACAATCATAACTCTATCAATATTTGTGTAAGAGAAAAATTAATAAAAATCAATAATTATCCAGAAAAAGATCTTGAATTTTATACGTATCTTTTATTCTTTCAGAGATATAATAATGAGAAATTGGTTTATTGGAGAGATATAATAATGAGAAATAAAAAAATCCTAGAAAATTTCCTTAAACTTCAGGCAGATTTATGAAAATCCGAATAATGGTTTAGGAGGATTA